GAGTGCAGTGGTGTAATAACAGCTCTCTGTAGCCTTGAACTCCTGGGCTCAAGCGATCCTCCTGCCTCAGCCTCCCGAGTAGCTGGGACTACAGGTGGCACCATCACACGCAGCTAATTTTTCTATATTTTATAGAGATGGGGTCTTGCTACATTGCCCAGGCTGGTCTCAAACTCCTGGCCTCAAGCAATGCTGCTAAAGTGCTGGGAGTGCAGGTGTGGCCACCGTCCCTAGCCATGGTCTTATGGATCTCATGAGTCCTTGTTAGGGTTTGAGTTAGTGCTGCAGGTGTTCAGAATCATGGATTCAGCCCACGCGGAAAATCGAAGCGGACAGTGGCGTCTAATGAGCACCGACTGCCGCGCATGGTTGAGGCCAAGGAAACCCAGCAGGGTCTGTCTGTCACAAGGACACCGACAGCCCAGAGCTGCACACTGACAGTCCAGACCGGCGGAGAGTGCCAGGCTAGCGTCTCCGCTGTCCTGTCACAGTTCCCCCAGTGTCGCACAGCCGGCTGCTGTGCCCTCGGGTTCTTGTTAAAGCGAAACACGAGGACGGCTGGATCTGGGTGAACACTTGATTTCCTGTCAGGAGGAGCTCTGTCTCAGTAACTTCCAGCATCAATTTCAAGCTGAATTCCTTCCCCTGCAGAATGTCGGGAGTTGGTGGTCCGGCTCGGACCCCGTGAGGCTCTGAGGGCGACGGGTAATGGTGACAGTTGCTGGTTGTTGGTTCTCTGCACTATGTAAGTCCCGGGCACTCTATGTCCATTGAGTCCTCACCGTCATCCGTTGAGGTGGGTGTTATTGTGCCCATTTTGCTTATGAGAAAAGTGAGGCCCAGGGGTGCAGTAGGTATGGAGGGTCTGGCTAGGAGTCAGGGGCTAGGAGTCAGGACTGCGTGGCTCCCCAGCCAGCTCCTTGCTGTGCAGTGGGGTTTACGTGAGGCTGGGGAGATGGTGGCTACGTGGCCAACCCAGCCTTGACCACGTCCGCGTAGACGTGGTGCCTGCTGGTAGGGAGACCCTGTCGTTGTTTCCATTCGGTACACCGTCACCTGGCCGGGCGGGCCAGGTCTGTGGTCGGGGCTGCATTCTTCAGACATTAAGGAAACCCTCCCCAGGGTGGGTAGGCTGAGAAAGCGCCCAGCCCCGCGGCGCTGGGAAGTAAAGATGTCCCAGCCGGATCCCTCAGAAGTCTGTCCCCGTTTCATGTGGGAAAAGCCTTATCGCTGGAGGACCGAGTGCACAGTGGCCCGGATGCACCCGGTGATTCAAAGGGGCGGGGCGGGGCGGCGCCCAGCCGACAGGACCCTCCCGTCCCGCCGGGTTGGACATCGGGCGGTCCTGAGGGCTCTGCGTCCAGAGTCAGCACCGGTTTGGGTTGTGGTCGAGGCTTTGCCTTGTTCAAGTGGCTCATTCACGTGAGCCGGGTGGCACCGTCTAATTCAGACCAAAATCAGGGATAATGGCCGTGTGCGCGTGCGCATGCGCGAGTGCGCAGCCGGTCTCTGAAACCGGTTCTTACTGCCAGTAAGACAGATCTGCGCGCGCTGTGCCTGGCGCGTCCCCGTGATCACACCGGCGTTTGCCGCTGCACGTGGGAGTGGGCTCTGCAGACCCCCGGGCAGCGCCAGCCCGCCTGCGCATGCTCGCAGGCCCCCCGGAGGACTGCGCCAGAGCCGCGCGGGGCGGGCCTTGTCTCAGCGCGGCACGGGCGGCCGCTCTCCGCCGGGACTTCGGCTGGCGCGTGTGCCCTGCTGCGGCGCTGTGCCCGGGCTGACAGGCGAGTCGCTGCTGAGCTGTCGCGGAAGCGAGTCCGTCACCGCAACGGAACGAGGTTCTCAGCCCTGTGATTCCAGGAAAAGCTTTTTTACCCGCTTGATTTTTTTTTCTCGGACACTAAATGTTTTCGGCTCATTTTTTTGTGTTCTCATTGAGTTATTCAGCGCGATGTTCAACACAAATCCTCGGCATGTGCAAACAGGGTGACCGGTCTTCCAGGCCGTCCCTGAATCCTGCATCTCACTGTGGTTCCACACTGGTGTCCTTCCACAGCGAGGCCTGCACTCACGGTCTGACCTGTCCCTTCGGAGCAAGTGAGAGCACGTCCCAAAGGAAGGGGACCTGGACTCCTTGGAGGAATCCCTTCCGTCTTCCGGGCCTCAGGGTCCCCTTGAGTTTGGTGACTGTGTGAATTAAATGATATCAATGGGTTTTGTCACCTTTGCATTCCAAGATCTAATCTAGAAGATGTACCCCAAAGAGTTAGACTTTCCAAAACAAACAGACCAAAAAGCCATCAAAAGACGTTATCCCGGGGCCCACAGGTGAGAATTCCAGGCAGGGCTGGTAAATACGCATCTTTGTAGCTCTTTGTAGCATTTCAGGTTGTTGGGAAAAAGAAAAACAAGTGCGTTGACACAGCTGGGGTCACATACTGCTTTGCCCAAGCGCCCGGGTCCGTTGCTTCCCCCAGTTTCCTGCCTGCACGCTCCCTTCCCGGCGCCGGTCCTTGTCATCACAGAGACAGCAGCTGTCACCGATGTAGTGACTCTTACTGTTCCCCGACTACTACTCTCTGCTCCTCAGCACAAGTCAGACATGGAGAATTGGCAGCCTGCAGGCTGCATGTGCGCCTCACCCCTGCTTTCTGTGGCCTGCGCGGAGGCTTTTCCCTTGTTTTATTTGAATTGTCAGCTTTTAAAAATTGGGAGATCTCACAAAAACCCTGATTTTTAGCATCGCTTAATATTAGAAGCTCTGGGTCAGGCGTGGTGGTTCAAGCCTATAATCCCAGCACTGTAGGAGGCCAAGGCGGGAGGATCACTTAAGGCCAGAGGTTCGAGACCAGCCTGGGCAACATAGTGAGACCCTGTCCCTACCAAAAAAAAAAAAAAGAAAATAGCCAGGTGTGGTGGCGCACGCCTATAATCCCAGCTACTCAGGAGGCTGAGGTGAGAGGATCCCTTGAGCCCAGGAGTTGGAGGCTGCAGTGAGCTGTGATTGTACCACTGCGCTCCAGCCTGGGCGACAGAGCAAGACTTTGTTTCTAAAAACAAAATTGGAAGCTCTGGCAACCCCGGCTACGTTGTAAGCTGCTACTGTGCTGGGCCCTGTGTTACGAGAGTTTTGTTTAACTGCCACATCGTCCCATTTTACAGGTGAGTAAACTGAGGCTGAGAAAGAGAAAGTTGCTCACTCAAGGCCCCGCAGTGGGCAGAGCCAGGATGGGAAGCCGGGCTGTCTGGCTCCAGACCCATGCCCATCCCGCTGGGCTGGGATTTTCCTCCAGTTCCTGAGCTTGCGATCCCGTCCCCACACAGCACAGTGTCGTCACACGCCCAGCCTCGTCTGCACCTCCGTGCCGCAGGGATGTCCCGTTGCCTGCGGGGCTGTAGCTCACGGCTGTGGTTACGTGGCAACGCAGGGAGGCCAGTACAGCTGCAAGAAGAATTTACCACACATTTCCCAGGAGGAGGGGTGGCCACACCACGCAGGGCCCCCTGCGAGCCAGCGGGGGGCCGGTGGGAGGCAGGAGCGGGAATGTGGGTGAGCCCTGGGCAGGCCGCAGCTCAGGGCTGGCCAGTTTGCACCTTCCCGGGGGCTCTGGGCTGCGGGGGTGGCTCTGGTCACCTGGTGCCTGCGGCTGTGGTTTGAACGTGTAGGTGTTGGCAGCGTGCTGGCGTTAGGTGGTTAGGCCGCGGGTCCCTCTCTCACGAGCGAGCGGGACTTGGGCCCTTAGCACAGAGGCGTCAGGCAGCGGCGGGCCGGGCCGGGCTGGCTCGCTCGCTCTCCCGGAGGACGCAGCGCGAAGACCCTCGCCGGAGGACGCAGCGCGAAGACCCTCGCCGGAAACCCGGTGCCGCGCCTTGACCCCCAGCTTCCCGGCCGCCGGCACTACGACAAAATAAACTTGTTTATAAATTGCCCCGTCTGGTGTCCGTTGTAGCCGCACAGATGGGCCGAGACACTGGCCCTGGGGTGACAGGGCGGGCAGAGTGGCTCCTGTGCGGGCGTTAGAGACGGGAGGGCTGGGAGCGGACTCGGGGCCGGGGGACCTGTGTGTGGCGGGTGCCCCTGCCAGGCCCTTTGACAGCTCTTAAGACTTGGCTGTGCGGGCGTGCCAGCAAACGTCACAAGACATGAAATAATAAAAAAACGTGGCCAACACAAGGACGGCTCGCTCTCCCCACAGCCCCGGCCCTGCCTCCCTCCTCTTCCGTGCGACTTTCTGACTTCGCCCCCACCCCCACCCCCAGCGTCACTCTCAGGGCCTCAGACCCTGACTCGGGCGTCACCATCCCCTCTCAGGCCTTGGGGATCCCACGTCCAGGCTGTGTCCCCAGCGGTTCTGCTGCTGTCCTCGGCGACATGCAGTGTTGACGTAGCCGGACCTTCCAGAGCACGGGCCTCGGCGTCCTCGCCGACGTGCCACCCAGACCAGCGCTCCGGCCTGCTGTCGCCTGGCCCTGAGCTGGCGGCATTTAAGGGGCTCCGCGAAACCAACGTAGTCAGACAGCAGCAGAGCGCAGGTGGCCTGTAGAGCCTGAAACATTTGCTCTTTGGCCCCTCATAGAGGGGTTTCCGCGAGCCTGGTGGCTTGAAACGGCGCTAGTTTACTGTCTCAGAGTTCTTGAGGTCACAGGTCCCACAGTCTTCCTGGGCCCCTTCCTGCCTCTTCCTCTCCTGGCCGCTGTGGCATTCCTTGGCTCGTGGTCCCAACGCTCCCGTCTGCTTCTGTCATCTCGTCACCTTCTGTCCTTTGACCTGCAGCTCCTGTGTGGACGTCAGGCCCGCCCAGATGTCTCCTAAACCCCGACATCCCGCCGCCTTCCCTGCAGCAGGGCCACCTGCAGGCGTGACCCCAAGCTGGGGGGTCGTCCCCTCTTCCTCCCCACCCTCAGCCCGCCTCCCGCACTGCTCCCCACCCCCCGCACTGCTCCCTGCCGCCGCCACAGCCTCTCGCCCGCACTCCGGGCCTCCACTTGTCTGCTCCCGCCCCCGTTTCAACCTGTTCCCGGCCCCTCAGCCAAAGAGGCTCGACCACGGGCAGAGCGTGCCCCTCCTCTGCGGGATCTCCGGGGTCTCAGGGCAACAGCTGAAGCCCCTGCGCCGCTGGCCCGTGAGACCCACCCACCCCAGCCGTTCCCCGACCTCTGCTCGGCCACGCTGCCTTCTGGAACAGTCCAGATTCTGCCCACTTCGCAGGAAGAGCTTCGTCTGCCCAAATGTGCTTCCCTGGCGTTCCCCAAGCTGCGCCCCCTCCTCCCCGCCACCCCACGGAGAAACGCGGCCCCTGACACTTCAGCCCCTGTCTGTGCTTCGCTCTCCTCCACAGCATCTAGAATCTTCCCACCGCCCTATAGACTGGTCGATTATCCTGCTTATTAGTCATCTGCCCCTGGGTGTCACCACGTCCCTCCACGAGGACGGGACTTTGGTCCTTCGGCTCCCAGCTGCTAGAATGGCACCTGGCTAAATGCACCTGGCATTGAGCCACCTGTGCACACATCAGTGGCACTTAGCACATTCACAATGTCGTGTGACCGTCACCTCTAACTCCAGAATACATTCGTCACCCCAGAAGGAAGCCCGGTCCCCAGTCAGTGTCTGTCCTCCCTGCCTGAATGAACTCGGTCCTGGATAACCAAGGATTCCTCCCGTCCTGGACAAGCACAGTTTCTCAGCGTGCAGCCAGCAAGAGCAACACGATTGATCTTTAAAATGCCTCAGGCCACTTGGTGGTGCCTCAGAAGGCCCATAGTGACATTTTTTTTTTTTAACTTAGCCAAAAGATGGTCTTCCTTGTTCCAAAAATGTAAGTGATTTTTCTGCTGGTGAGATTTAAAATAGAATTTAAAAATTCACATTTCTAAAAAAAACCCTGAAGGAAGCAGCCTAGCGGAGGGGCCCAGCGCTCACTCCCTATGGGAATGTACAGGGGACTTTTCCCGTCCTGGCGCGCCCGTCGCACTTGTCCTACGCCAAGTTCCTGTCCCACTTGTGCGCGCCATGGCCCCTCAGTGGTTTCCCTCCAGGACGCAGGAACCTCAGTTTCTTTATTGTTGAAACAGTCTCGCTCTGTCGCCCAGGCTGGAGTGCAGCGGCCTCATCACAGGTCACTGCAGCCTCCAACTCCTGGGCTCAAGCGATCCTCCTGCCTCAGCCTCCCCAGTAGCTGGGACTACAGACCACGCCCGGCTAATTTTTTCTATTTTTGGTAGAAACGGGGTCTTCCTCTTGCTCAGGCTGGTCTCAGACTCCTGGCCTCAAGCGATCCTCCTGCCTCGGCCTCCCAGAGTGCTGGGATTACAGGCGTGAGGAATGACCCTCCTGTTCAAGTTCAACTTTCTTTGGAGACTCTTGATGTTCGGAAAAAGACCCGCCCCACGAGCAGGTTATCTGGGAAGTGGTGGAACAGGTTTGAGTCCCGACTTTGCTACTTAGGGCGCCTCGGTTTTCTCACCTGTAAATCAGGTACAAGGACAGTCCCAGCCTCACGGCAACGTTGTGAGATCGCGTTAATCTGTGAAAAGCGCTTCAGACTGTGCGTGGGCTCGTGGCAAGGCCTCCACGATGTTCAGGGTCACGGGACGTGCTATAGGAAGGGAAGCCGTGCGGCTCGCGTCCAGTGTCAGCTGGAACGCCTGCACCTGCTCAGGTGCGCCCCGGAACCGGGTCTGATCCAGTCGGCTCCTGTGTGTGTTTGTGGTTCCAGCGTCCAGCCTCCGCCAGCCCTTCCCGAGCCCGCTCCTGGAATGGGCCCCGCCGCGGGCCAGGCCTTGCCCCCAGCCGCCCCAGTGGGGCACGGCGGGCACCCGCCCCACGAGGGCCAGGACTTTGCTCCCAGCACCCAGCGCCAAGAACCCGGCCCCACGCCCACCGCCACGGCCGCCTACCAGGTACCCCTCTCTTCTGTGCCCAGAGTCGCTGGACAACATCGGTGCCGTCGTGTGGGTGGGCGCGGTGGGCTTCCCCCGTCTGAGCCCCTTCTCTATGGCGTCTCCACCATGACCTTTCCTTCTGGCGTTTTCTGTGTGCAAGAGGTGGGGAAGGATCAGACCAGAGTCACTCCCTCAGGGAGCAAGGGGAAAACTGCCGCACTGCCACCTCCAAAGGGGAGCCCCAGGCAGCTTTGGGGGACAGTGGCCCACAGAGCCGTGTTACCCAGGGGGTGGCCCTGAAGGAGGAGGAGGGTCTCGTGGGTTGGGGGCCCCTCCCTGGTCAGGGCAGTCGGCCTTGGCCATGTGGCCCCAGACAGACCGGGACACCCTCGCCCTCCTCGCCCCTGGGGCCCTGCCCACAAAGGGACCCGGTGACGCAGAGGTGTCCTGCGGGGATGAACAAGTGTGGCCTCACCTGTGGCCCGGAGTGGCTTTCCCCTAGCTGTCTGTGACTCTCCCGCGGGCACCCCCACACAGGGCGGTGACAGCGTCGGACGGTCGGCAGCCACCAGCAGTGACGGGGACAAGCGGCACTTGCAGCCTGCTGCCCGCCCCGCCGGACACACGGCCCCGGGCGCGCTCCACCAGCCAGGTGGGTCGTCCCCGCGGCACAGGGACAGCCTCAGTGACGTCGAGACCCAGACGGTCTAGACTCGCAGGCGGGGCTGGGGCCATCTGGCTGTCGGGGCTGTGTTCTTGTGCTCGTCCTAAAGTCTCAGGGTGGCAGGCCATCGGGTGTGACAGTGTGAGAACTGAAAATGAAAACTAAAATAATTTTTTTCAAGGGAGGTTTCCCGGGGGCGCAGGAGGTAGGGTGTGTGGCGGACGTGGGTGTCAGAGCCGGGGGACACATGGCAGCGGGTTCCAGGCACAGCCCTTCTCCCCGTGGCACGGGAGGAAGCGGAGTTGGGAAGGGGGTGGCGGGCGAAGGTCACTCGCGAGTCACGCGGGACCCAGGCCCAGCTCAGATGTCTAGCGTGGTCCCGCGCACTGAGTCCGGCCCATCCACAGGCCGGGGCCAACGGGGGTGGGGGTGACCTGCCACAGCGGGGGCAGTGGCGGGTTGGCCCTGCGGGAGCCCGTGCCTGTCTCGTAGGGACCACAGGCGGCCACGAGCAGCCCAGCCCCTGGGGTGGTCACAGCCACGCGCAGCCCCCGAGACAGGTGCCCCTGGCGGAAGCCGGGCAGCCAGAGGGTGCCTCAATCTCAGACTACGTCTACCCCATGGTGACAAGTGTCCAGCCTGAGGCGTCCACCGTGCCCTCCTACCCTGCGCCCTCCTACGACCCCGCCCACGCCCTGTACACAGGTAGGACGAGTGTCCCTGCGGCCCGGCGCCCGCGTGGGCAGGGGTCTGTCTGCTCCTGCGGTCGCGGGCGGGGTTGGCGCGTCTCCCCGCTCGCTCTCCCTCTCACTGTCTCCCTGCCCCTCAGGTCCGAACTACCCCAGCTACAACGTGCTGGTGTACCCTGCAGCCCGTCCCCACTGTCCTCCGCCCCCACCTCCCCCAGAGCCCCCCGGGCAGCCGCCACCCAGGCAGCCTTCGTCACCCGTGGATGGTTCTGGAAGCAGCCCTGGGCCCGACTCGAAGCTACCGTCACCCAACAAGCCTCCGAAAGCCCAGCAGGGCCCCAGGCAGCCCCAGCTCCACTATTGCGACATCTGCAAGATCAGCTGTGCAGGCCCCCAGGTCAGCCGCCCTCCCCCAGGCAGGGCCGAGGTCAGAGTCGAGTGTGTCGCCAAGGACGGGGCTGCCGCCTGCCAACACCAGGCCTGTTAGTGAACTTGCACCGCGAAGTGCACGTCAGAATGGCCTTAAAGTGGCCCCACCGGGGCCCCAGTGGAAGAAACGGAGCTGGGCCCGGCATTGACAGTGGCCCTGCTGGCCTGGTCTCGGACACCGAGGCAGCTGGCGGTGGCATCTCTTTGCTGGGGGCCGTCTGTGCAGGGCCACGGATGGACACAGGAGCCGGACACTGTGTCTGAGCCTAAAGCATGTGCATTTGTGTGTACGTGTGTGCATGTGTACATGTGCATACGTGTTTGCACGTGGTGCACATGTGTGTGCACATTCATGTGCCTGTGCTTATGTGTGCATGTGCATGCATGTTCATGTATGCATGTGCTTATGTGCATGCATGTGTGTGCTCCTGCACACATGTGTGTTTGCAGGGCGGTGTGTGTTGGGGACACACAAGTGAAGCTCTCTTCAGGGAACACCCAAGCCTGAGGTCGCAGAGCCCGGGCATAACCGAGCTGGAGTCGTGGGCTCCTTATCTGGGAAGATAACTAGACCCTAGAGCTCAGTCACATCCTCGTGTTCCTTTGTTTTTAATATGCTCTGGGCCGAGGGGAGACACTGAGCGTGCAACCGCTGGCTCTGGGGACGTGCAAGAAGCCTCCAGAAAATCTCATCAGCCCCCCCCCACACACACACACACAGCTGAGGGGAGGGGCGGGGCCCAGCTCAGGGCCAGCTGGGCCCTCCCACCCATCACCCTTTCCTGGCCGACCACAGCCTGGCCCCTGGGTTGGTGGCCCAGCCCACCCTCCAGTGACCAGAGCTGGCAGTGTGGCCTCTCTGAGCCTCTCTCCTCACGGGGTGGGATGTGGTGCCAGGATCTGCCTTCCCAGGTGGTCATGGTGCCCAAACGGGTCGGCCCTCAGCACAGCGCTGGCTTGCAGGCGACGTGCCTCAGAGACGTCAGCTCTCCTTCCTGGATTTTTGCTAATACTGCACTTTTTTTTTTTTTTTTTTTTTTTGAGACAGAGTCTCACTTTGTTGCCCAGGCTAGAGTGAGTGCCGTGGCGTCAGCCTAGCTCACAGCAACCTCACACTCCTGGGCTCAAGCGATCCTCCTGCCTCAGCCTCCCGAGTAGCTGGGACTACAGGCATGCGCCACCATGCCCGGATAATTTTTTGTATATATATTTTTAGTTGGTCAATTAATTTATTTCTATTTTTGGTAGAGATGGGGTCTCGCTCAGGCTGGTTTCGAACTCCTGACCTTGAGCAATCTGCCCGCCTCGGCCTCCCAGAGTGCTAGCATTACAGGCGTGAGCCATCACGCCTGGCTAATACTGCACTTTTTAAGTTGAAATTTTTACCGAGATAATTGTAGGTGCACGTGCAGTTACAAGAATTCAAGCCAGGTGCAGTGGCTCACGCCCGTAATCCCAGCACTGTGGGAGGCTGAGGCAGGAGGATCACTTAAGGCCAGGAGTTCGAGACCAGCCTGGGCAAGAGCCAGATCCCATCTCTACCAAAAATTTAAAAATTTTCAGGGCATGGTGGCTGTACCTGTAGTCCCAGCTACTGGGAAGGCTGAGGCAGGAGGATCGCTTGAGCCCAGGAGTGGGAGGCTGCAGTGAGCTATGATGAAGTCACTGCACTCCAGCCTGGGTGACAGAACAAGACCCTGTCTCTTAATAAAACAAATAAATTACAAACAGACAGCGGCTGAGGACCATAGGAGACTGTGTACGTGTTGAGGGCGTTTGGAAACCTCCCCGCCGGGCCAAGGGTGGGGAAGAGCCGCCTCTGGCCACGTGACCCTGGGCAGATGGAACATGTCGTGACTCCCCCACGCGGAGCCTCCCCCACGTGGAGCCCCTCGGCTCTTAGCGGGTTTCTAAAAAGGAAGCGGGCGCTGCGTCATCCGGGCAGCACGTGCCCCTGCCCAGTGTCCGAGGCCACATTCCGAAAGCCCGGCTTTCCCATGGCCGCAGCCCCGCCAGCTGCGCATGTGGTCCCCCGCGCAGGCTCCCTCGGGAAGCCGTTTCCAGAAAAGGGAGGAAACCTTGTGCCTCGTAGTCCCAGCTTCCGAGGCCGATAGCTGGACGTCACAAGGACCCCTGAAGCTCTCGGGCGCCAGTGTGGGGACGGGGCCTCTGTCACCCGCGAGCCGAGTTCCCACCAGCTAAGCCTGCAGGTGGCCTTCGGGCCAGGGGTGGTGTCCGCTGGGTGGACGCCCCCTCATGCCGCCTCTCGCCCCTGCCACAGACCTACCGGCAGCACCTGGAAGGGCAGAAGCACAAGAAGAAGGAGGCGGCTCAGAAGACGGGCGCGGGGCCCGACGGCAGCCCGCTCGGGGGGCAGGGCCCGCTGCGCTGCGGGCTGTGCGCCGTGTCCTGCACCGGGGCGGACGCCTACGCGGCGCACATCCGGGGCGCCAGGCACCAGAAGGTACGAGCCCCCACCCCGCCCTGGGGGAGCCCGTGGGAGACCCCGGGACAGCCCTGCGACGTTGGAGCCCAGAGGAGCTTCCCCTGCCCCAGGCCCACGAGTCCCTGTCCCAGTAATAAAAAGGGTCCCCACTCACCACACAAATGTGCGAAGCCACGCCTGGACTCGCGCCCCGGCCTCCAGGAAAGCTTGGCCTTGGGTGTGGCCACAGACAGTCCTGTGGTGGGACCCCACGGCATGTCCCATCTGGGGTCTTCCTCCTCCGCTTCCTGCCTTCATGCCAGTGTCTCCCTGTGGCCTTCACAGGCCTGTGTTACGTCACCTTATGGGGGCAGATGGAGCCCCCATGTGGGGGCTCCCTGCCCGGTGGTGTCATCCAGCAGGAGGGTTGGGAAGTCCCTGTCCCACTGTCCTACTGCCCCAGCTCTCAGGCCCCCGTTGGCCCCCCAGGCCTCACCCCCCCCTCAGCTGGGGACAGGCTCACGAGGGAGGAGCGGACGGCATGGCCGAGGGGCCGGGTGGGCCCGCCTGGTCTGGCCCCTGCTAGGCTGGGGCTCGGTGTGGGGGTCAGGGAGGCCACACGGGGTGGGGCAGGGCGGGCCTGAGCCGTGAGCACGTGTCAGGCCTAGAGCTGGCCGGCGTGTCCGAGGCGGCCGTCAGCACGTGCCTGGAGCCCGCGGGGCAGCCCCGTCCAGCCGGAGCCTTGTGCTGGGCGCCTTGCCCGCAAGTGCTGGGGACACCCTTCCCGCCTCGGGGGGCTGGCGTCTCGCCTGAGCGTGGCCCTGACGGAGGCCGGGCGGTTCCAGGTCTTGAAGCTGCACACCAGGCTGGGGAAGCCCATCCCCTCCGTGCAGCCTGCACCCGAGACCCCCGGCTCGCCAGCTGCAGAGCGCACCCCTGAGCCCGAGGCCCCCGCCGGCCGCAGCGCGCACGCTCAGGGCCGCCCAGAGACGCCAAGGGGACCCGCGGCCTCCAAGGCCCTGCGCAAGGGTACGTGTCTCTGCCACCTCCACTGTGTCCGTGGGCATGTCCCTGCGCCCGCCAGTGCCCTGTGGCCACCCCGCGAAGGTGTTGGGGAGGGGGGCGACTAAGCAGTTGATTCGAGGGCGCATATTGGAGAGGCTTGTGTCATCCCTGGGTGGGGACACTTAGACCACCGTGTCCAGGATGTGTAGACAGAACCTGTGAAACGGGGGCCCCATTCCTCCTCGGGCTGGTGCCGGAGACGCCCCCTGACGCCCCCTCACGCCCCAGCACTCACGGTGAACAGACCGGGCTGTGCCTCGCAGTTCCGTCGGTCCCAGGAGACCAAGGCCGGCTGGTTGCGGCTGTCCACCCTGGCCCTGCCCTCTCTGCCTGGGGCGTGCGGCGGCCCAGCTTGTGCCCCCGAGGGCGGTGACAGCTGGGTAGGCTGGCGTAGCTGGGATCAAGCGTCAGGCATCTGCTAACCGCTCCGTGTGCGTGTCTGACTTCGCCTCCACGCCAGCTCTTTACAACCGATTGCGTCACTAGTCCCAATGTGCAGACAGAAAAACTGAGGCGAGGGGTCTTACAGGAGCCAGCCCCAGCCACACTGTAGGGTGGAGGAGGAATTAGAACCCAGGTCTGCCCGGGAGCCTCAGCTCTGCCCCACCGCGTGGGGCGTGGGCCTCATTGTATCGTTAGCCTTGGCAGCCCCAATTCTGGAATAACAGCATGATTCTGCACATCAAATCATCAGGCAGGTTTTTGTTTTCTTTTTTTTGAGACAGAGTCTCACTCTGTTGCCTGGCTAGAGTGCGGTGGCATCAGCCTAGCTCACAGCAACCTCAAGCTCTTGGGCTCAAGCGATCCTCCTGCCTCAGCCTCCGAGTAGCTGGATACAGGCATGCGCCACCATGCCCGGCTAATTTTTTCTATATATTTTTAGTTGGCCAATTAATTTCTATTTATAATAGAGACGGGGTCTCACTTTTGCTCCGGCTGGCCTCGAACTCCTGACATTGAGCGATCCTCCCGTCTCGGCCTCCCAGAGTGGTAGGATTACAGGCGTGAGCCACCGCGCCCGGCCCGTCAAGCAGTTTTGATGACAGAGATTTGTCTGTCCCGAGGCGCTGTCTGTGCGTGCCGGGGCGGAGGAGGTACCAGGTTCCTGTACCTTCAGGTGCACGAGGTCCTGAAGCCGGGGCCTCTCCGAGCACAGGTGCATGGCCCGGCTGCTTCCCCCGCTGTGACGGGCGCTGGCGTGAACGGGAGGCTAAGGCCACACACGGGGCGGCTGCCACTGAGCTCCCGAGGACGGAAGGCACGACAGCCCCTGGTCAGCGGGGACCTCTAGCCGCCCACACACCCGCTGGTGCGCTGGTGACGCGGGTGTTCCCCTCAGGGCCCCCTGAGCCGCAGGCAGCGGGCAGCAGACCCCCGGGAGGGAAAGCGGCCAGACCCAAATCGGAGGGGCCCAGAGGAGCGTCCAGCCAAGGGGGCGCGGGGGAAGCTTCCGGAGGCTGCTGTGACGCGCAGCCGGTGGGCCCCGGCTACGTGGAGGAGGTAAGCGCCAGCCGTCTCCGCCCTCGGGTCCTGGTGCCGTTGCCGTCCGGGCTCCACTATAAAAGGACCGTGCCAGGTGTCCGGCTCCGAGACCTCTCTGGGAACTCTCTGGGCTCTCTCCGGGAGGTGCTGGGAACCCCTCTGTCCAGCCCTGTCCAGACCCCCGCCCCCCCCCCGCCTTGCCGGTCCGGTCAGCATCGTGCATTTGGGGGAGGCAGGGCCGGCGTCCCCGCCTTACCCGCTGGCGTGGGGCTCTCGATCCCAGCCCAAGACGGGCACCCTGCACGGCCACCCCACAGATGCCAGAGCCGAGGCAGGTGGCCCTGCAGGGCTCGTCCCAATTCCAAAGCCTTCTCCGCAGCCGGTTCCCGGGCATCACCCAAGGAATGCCGCCTCCCTAGGCGCACGTGGCTGACGGCAGAGAGGTGTCGCCTCGTCCAGCCGCGTCCCTGTTCCCGTCCAGCCAATTCGGCCGTCTCTGCTGTGTCCAGTGCGAAACAACCCCGGCAGCTAGGATCGTGCCGTGGGAGACCCTGTCGCTTGGTTAAGGAAAGAGACAAGACACCTAAAAGCCAGACGGAACGGGGCAGAGCCCAGCCCGAGGGGCAGAGGCAGGGCAGGGCCGGGGATGCCGCACCCAGGCCGGTCCGGTTACACGCGCAAGAGGAGGAGGGGACAGGCAGGGCGGGCCACAGAGCCGGGGCTTGTTCAACACCACTCCGCAGACCCCAAACCCACTGGCCACGGGGACGGCTCGGCGGCCGGGCGTCAGTAGCGTCCCACGTTCTCCAGGCCATGCCCCTGGCACGTGCCCAGCCGTGATTCCCGTCCCAGGTGTGCAACGACGAGGGGAAAGTGATCCGGTTCCACTGCAGGCTGTGCGAGTGCAGTTTCAACGACGCCAACGCCAGGGACATGCACGTGAGGGGGCGGCGGCACCGGCTGCAGTACAAGGTGCGTCCAGCAGGGGGCGTCCCGAGACCCGCCCAGGGGCGCAGCCTGGGCGGTGCCCGAGACTTCAGGTGCTGCCTCTCTCCCGCCTCCTGTGATCCGATTGACTTAGGACCTGGGCTGGGGTGGGGGAATTTCTGCATTTTCTGCATCTTGGGCCACGTCGCAAAAGCGCATCTTTCACCTCCACGAGACTGAGCCCCCTCCAGGCCCCTCTGGGCCCCTCGCGTGTCCCTCCTGCATTGCCGCTGCCTGTCAGACGTGCCCAGTCACTGGACACCCTGAGCTCTGCGGCTGCCTCCCAGGCGCTGCACCCCTCGGCCGGCTTGGGACCCCCCAGTCCCCTGCAGCTGATCAGCGGCTGGGCCTCTGCCTCCCTGTGCCGGGCTCTGTGCACCTGCGCTCCTGGGCTGTTACTGTTGCCCGAGGGCCTTCCCGGCAGGCTGCCCCAGCCAGGCTGAGCCGTCCTGCGCGTCCCGTCCTAGAACTCTGCCTGCTCGCTCAGCTTCCGGTGCTCTCAGCTCCTCCACTTCCTGCGAGACAAGGGCACATCCCCCGCCAGCCTTGACTCACATTTGTGTTCTGGGTCAGCTCCTGGCCTGCACACAGGGGACTCGGGAACTAGGGGTGGATGGATGGGTGGATAAGTGAGTGGATGGATGGCTGGGTGGGGGTGGATGGATAAGTAGATGGATAGATGGGTGGGTGGATGGATGGATAAGTGGGTGGATGGATGGGTGGGTGGATAAGTGGCTGGATGGGTGGGGGGATGGATGGATAAGTGGGTGGATGGATGGGTGGGTGGATAAGTGGATGGATGGGTGAGGGGATGGATGGATAATGGGTGGATGGATGTGGTGGGAGGGATAAGTTGTGGGTGGTGGGGGATGGTGGGTGGGGGGATAAGTGGTGGATGGATTGGTGGGGATAGATGGATAGTGGATGGGGGGATGGGTGGGGGGATGGGTGGGTGGGGATAAGTGGGTGGATGGGTGGGTGGTGGGATGGTGGGTGGGAGATAAGGGGGGATGAGTTGGGTGGGGGGATAAATAGTGGGGGGATGGGGTGGGTGGGTGGGGGATGGTTGGGGAATAAGTGGTGGATGGGTGGGTGGGTGGATGGGTGGTGGGGGGATTAAGTGGTGATGGTGGGGTGGGGGATAAGTGGGTGGATGGTGGGTTGGGATAAGTGGTGGATGGTGGGTGGGGGATGTGGGTGGGGGATAAATGGGGGGGATGGGTGGGTGGGGATAAGTGGGAATGGGTGGGGGATGGGTGGGTGAGATAAGTGGGTGGGTGGGTGGGGGATTAAGTGGGGGATGGGTGGTGGAGATAAGTGGGGGATGGTGGGGTGGGGGGATAAGTGGGATGGGTTGGGTGGGGGATA